GTCCCCACGCTCTGGGGTGTCACGGCCAGCAGCCGGGCTCGGCGGCAGCTCCGTGCTGGGGCAGCGTGTGCCCTGGGCCCAGCGGCTGCCAAGGGGAGCACTTCCAGACAACCCGGGAGCATCCCAGACCCAGCCTGTTTCCATGAGAAACACCCTTATTTCAGCTAAAACCCCATACTGTTCCCCATTTGAGGCATCACAAAACAATTCCAGAAAGATTACTGTTTTAAAAAGTATGTTTATTCTATAATTTTATTTAGAACTGGGATTTTTTTATTTTTTTTTTTTCACCTTGGGTAGGTGACAAATTTTGGTTTAACACAGGAATATTTCTTGTACCTAAGACGACAAAATTTTCTAACTGGGTCTTTCTCATCCCCAACATACAGAAAATGTAAACCCCACAGAGTTCAGCCTTGACACAAATGACTACTTAATACAGTCCTATCTTCAGCAAATTAAAGTATTTATTTAAATAGCCAGATTCACATGCATTATGAATCTAATGCAGAAAAAAAAAAAAAGAATGTGCAGTAATTTCAACAATAATGTTGCTTTAAAAAATGAATTCATTATAGTAAAAAGTCATAGAAATATGTGAGAGTCCTGGAAAGGACAAGTTTCCTTTAAAAATTGACATGAAAAGGTAATAAAAGAAAAATATATTTCTAAGAAGGAAAAGGTCAGCTTTTAAGCCAGCTTTACTGGAACTGAAGTAAAACCTTACTGATTTTAAAGGTTGCAGAAGAAAGTTTCTGGAATTTGTGAGGCAGTAAGACTCTCAAGCATCTTTAACCTTTTTCCATAACAGCAGATGGAGTTTCTGTAATTTTCACAGTCAGTTTTGTGTAGACTACCGATGTGAAAGGGCCGTTAGGAAAGAAGCTTTGTCAAGAAAGCAGCACAAGGTGAGATTCCTGAGGTCTCAAGCTTTTTATACCGAGCTGTCCCTTTCTGTATTATTTTGCGCTCGCTCACACCTTCTCTTTTACCTTGTGCCGTGCTCCCTGCCTCCTTTGCTTTGCATATTCCCATTCCCTTGCTTTCCCAAGCATCTGCCCTTAAAGTCCACACCCGGGATCCTTGAGTCTAATAATTTGTACCTATATTTTTCAACAAAAATCATTGTTATCAAACCTCCAGCAAAACTGGGTCTAGTCCCACTGCACTGTCATCTATTTATCTTTTCAAAAGAGAGATAAAAAGGCTGGATGGAATTTTTTTGAGGTTTCTCATGCTTCCACTGACCCCCACTTATATCTTGTGCTTGCTCTCCCTCCTTCCTCACATTTTGAAAGCTACTGCTCTGGCTAAGCTGAATCAATAGCTCTTTGAGGAATCTGTATTTTTCCAGGTGCTTGTAAAGTCGGTTGAAAAAAAAAAAAAAAATACTGTGGCCTGAGAAAGATTCCTTTCTTTAAAAATAACCCCCCAAACGCTTACAAGATATCTAGGAGACAAGCAATCTACCTACATAAACTCACACCCTGAAGGCAGGAAAGGGTTGCAGACAGCCAACTTCCAGAGACAACACCGGGCACCCACCAAGGTCTCCTTCAGGCCTCTCGGGGTTCCATCAGCTCTTCTGATGTAGCCTCATTGCCTATTTCCACAAGGTATGAGATCTCTGCTCCCACAAGGCTGATGCAAGAGGATTCATTTAATGATTTAATCCCCTGGAACTTTCTCCCCGTGGGTGTTACTGAGAGATGAAACTATTTAACTATTAAATAAATGTTATATTCCTGTGTTACTGATGTCTAGGTAACTGGAAAGAGCAGCAAGTTTCAACTGCATGTTACATTTTGCCCATCAAAAAATAACAGGAGTTTCTATTTCAGAGCCTTTTGTAAGAAAAGCACTTAAAGACTTTTAAATGTCAGACGCATAAAGAATAAATTTTTTGTCATCAGTCCTGATCTAAATTTTAGTCCGAATAAATGCACTTGATTAAGAAAAATCTTAGCCACTTTTCTTAAGTGATGCTACCTAAAATTTGTCTAAATTCTCTCAGTCCCAGGAAGGAGAGCCTTAGAGGGTTCATCAGACTAACCTAGTTGCTTTATGAGATTATAATTCTGGATTTTCAAGTATTTTTCCAAAAATAACTAATGCCCAAGTCACTCTCCATAGGTTTAGTGACCCTGTATTTATGTACTGGACATTTAGGTATATTTAGGTATCATTTACATTCTTTTTAAACCTTTAACTGAGAAGTGATCACCTGTTAATCCTCAGCCCTGATAAATATGCTTCTCCTGACTTTGCAGGCACAACATTTTATATATATTTTTTGGGGGATCTAGAGGTTAAGTAGATATTAATGTACATTCACCAGTATCTTTTCCAGAAATGATACTACAGAAACAACATTGACTCCAATACAGCAGAACTTGTTGCAAACCTAGGAGAAACCTGGTCCCTGGTTCAGGGTGTGAGGGAAACTGAAGACATGCCTGAAAAGGACTTTGTAAGAGTACAGAGAAAGAACAGAATGGGGGAAAAGCCAGTGAAGCTTGGCCTGGCCTGGAACTGCAAAATGATGGCCCAAACTGGTACTTCAGGGTGACAAAAGGACCTCAGGTTAGGTTGTATTTTGACTGTAAGTCATTGTTGCAATTGCTGTGTATGAAATAAAGTAATTGTAGGACTGTGTAATAATTGGCTAACTCAAGTGCCAAAACTGAAGGGTCCTCCTTGGTGTCCAAGCCGTTATTCTGAAACTTGTTCAAGAAAATAGTCCCAATTTATGCATACCTCACCAGCAAATCTTTATTCACATAAACAACACCTGCTGTCATCTTCTGCTTTTTCCTATTTTTCTCTTCCAATTTATAAACAGTCAACAGGCTCTTACTAGCACTAACAGCTGCTGGATCAGTCATGAAAATGCCTCAACCAATAAAAATCTGTAGTATTAAAAAAATGACTAAGATTTAAGAACTCAATTTGGCATATGAGAATTTAGCATATAACAGAAAATCTCTCTCATCCTATCGAGCCAGAAAGACATTATGCTCAATCAGGTTTCTGAAATGCTGAGCCCCTATGACGGAATTCCCTTCCAGATCAGGAAGCTTTAGTATTAGAGAAAATGAAAAAGGACAGGAAAGCATTTGGTATAATTAATTTGTTTTGGGGTTGGTGTCATTGAGTCAGCTGGTTGGCTTTCATCTCGACCAGTCACATCTTCTCCTGTCAGCTCCCTTCCCTTCTTTCCTAGAAACCGATTATTCTGAAACTCTGCATAATATTACACCCACCAATATCCATGGCTGGGCAGAGCTTACTAAATTATTGATAGCATTAAATATTTTTACGGTGGTCACAGCAATTCTCTCCCCTGCCTGGCGCAGTGCCCGACGAGGGACACGCGGTGCCCACGCCATGACGGGCTGGCTCAGGGCAGGCGGAGGGGAGCGGCCCCGGCC